CTCAGGCACAATCATGCATGCAGCTACTCCTGCATTACTCTGTACAAAGATACAGGCTTGTTTCCTTTCATCAGTCTTGATTCCTGCAAAGGATTGTAAGATATGATCATTTTCTGGGGCAATATTAAAATTAAGAAACAGGAAAAAGATTACTACATGCGTTAGACAGATAGCTAGAGATGGAAAATAAACCTGTATCATTGTTCCTGTCTTCATTTGGTTGTTTATACAAGTCAGCCAATGCATTCCAAGCATCTTTTGCTGAATACATCTCCTTAATCGCATCAAACTTTTTTGCTCCACATGAAATCTTAATTGTATGCAGAGCTAAGGCATTCCTTTTAATCCATTCCCTTGAGTCTTCTCCATGAAGCATCTCGTTTGATAGAACCACATCCCAAAGGTCTTGAGCCACTAAATAATGTTGCATGAAAATGCGCCACCTCTCATAATTATCTTCTTTAAGTACCTCAGGCACAATCATTGATGCAGCTACTCCTGTGTTAATCTGTATAAAATGCTTAACCATGCATGAAACATTTTTCGTTTGCCCCAAAAAGAAAATAACAAAAGATTTAACAAGAGAAGGAGCAGGTGATCATATATCATTTTTGGTAACCACATTAATTTAAAAGTTAAAGCCATTTCTATGCACTTAAGAACATTCATGTATACAGAGATATGTCGAAACAAAACTAACATACTTACAGATAAAACCGGTTGAATCTGATTAGCTTCCATGCTTCCTTAGTAAATTGCTGCAGACAAACAAACTGATTTAGAAGGAATGAATTGAATGGGCAAGACCTCTGCTTATATAAATCTACATTCAGCTTAGGATTCAAGATAACAATTAAAAAAAAAATGATACTACCTTCTCTTTTTAATTAGAAATACAATTAATTAAAAAAATTAAAAATAAAACTAATTTTTATATTTTTGGCATAACCCTCTGTTTAACCTCTTAATTTTAAAAATTTAAAGTTATTCATCTTCTGCCTTAAAATTTAATTAAGGGTATTAACCTCTAAATTACACGGTTTAAAGAAAGTTACGCCAATTTAACGGATTGATAATGGTAAATTAACGGTATAAGTTAAATATCCATTTATTCGGTGCGTGCCGTCTAAGCACACATGGCCTTCCTCTCTCCACATAGCATTAACTTTTCGTCTTATTCTCTGTTGTCCAGTTAACATGAAATTATTTGTCAATGACCGGGCATGACTTGACAAATATTGAATTGGCCTAACTCAACTCACGTGGCAAAGAAAAGGGATTGACCAAATAACTCTTAACATGAACAAATTAAATTGGGGATTAAGGTTTGTTTCTTCCATTCTTATTTGGTCGATTCAAGCTTTCTTGTTCTCCATTGCTTTTATCATTTTTACAGACATGGATAAAAATAAAAAGAAAAAAGAAAAAAAGATTTTTTGTCTCTCCTCTCGCCCTGTTCTTCTTCCTCCCCACTTTTTAATCTTCAGTTCTCTCTCTTCTTCATTCTTCAACAGATCTACCATACCATCAAAACCCATTATTCAACTTTGGCAAAAAGAAGATCCACAATCCCCCAAGAATCCATCTCATAACCATTTCGACCTTAGCGTTGATTTGGCCGTACAACGCCGTCGTTAATTGACTTGATCCCGGTGCCACTGAGGACAAGAATTGGTCTTATTATTATTCCTGACATGGCGTCTCTTTTATTTGTGGGTTGTATTCTTTTCTATGTTTGATTTATTATTAATTTGGAATATTTAGTTTTATCTGTTTTCATGATGAGGAAAAGATGTTAGAAAACCAGAAGAGGGAACGGTCTTTTGCATTTTGTGAGTAAAAGAGGGGATTAAGGGAACTGAATCCTTCAATCAGTGTAAATTCAAGAAACAAGATCTTATAAAAATGCTTGCAATTTTGTAGGGGTAAAGTGGATCGAAGGAATCGATTTTAATTTTTTTTAACAAATTTGTGGTCTCCTCATAACTTGGCTGAAAATTGAAATAAATGTGCTTTGAAAATAAATTCAGAGGGTGAAGGAGATTCGTTTGATTTCTTAATGAGTTAGGATACACTTGTTTAAGAATATATGAAATTGAAGATTAAGTTTAGAATGACAAGATTTTGTACAGTACTCTTAAAAAAGAATGGAGAAGGAAATGATATATATGGTAAATTTAAATGTTGACTAAAGAATAATTTTAGAAATTACATAATTTTATATGGTTTTAAGCACAACCCACAGCCATGTCATTATAAAAATCGTCATGTCTTGCATGGCAAGTGACAAATAAGCTCATGTTAACGGGCAACACAAAGTTAGACGGAGACATGACGTTATCTTTAACAGAATGGTTTACTCACGAATTTTGTCAAGTAGAGGAGTTGATTTACAGTACTTTTAAGGAGAGTGGCTAACAAGCTACAACAAGCATAGCAAAGGGGTGAATTGGATCTCCCGCCTAAAAAGTTTGCTTCGTGGAAATCAAGACAAAATGAATTTTCCTACTTGTACTTTCTCAAACGATTCCAAACTGAGGAATGAAGGAAAGGATAACAAGAAGGGCCCAAAAAAGGGAAAGTAAAACAAGGAGGGCCCAAAAAAGGGAAAGG